AGAGAGAGAGAGAGAGGGACAGGGACAGGCAGAGGGAAGAAAAGGCTGAATCTTGGGCAGTGGAGTGGCACCCTCCCCAACCTGATGGCCTGGTCATTGCAGGACTGGATTGCCTCTGGGGTAACTAGTGATTTACCTGTTTAGCCCAACTGTGGAGTCATGAAACTTTTTTTCAGGTTCAGTTTCCTCCTGTGTGAAACAATGACAGTCACTTCCTGGGTCATTGGTTCGGTTAAACAAATGACCCACAAGGAGCATGCAGCGAATACACTTCCAAAAACAGGCTTCTCTCTTCCTGCCTTTCCGGGTGATGATATTTCCATGCCACGTTTCTCTCTGTGTGCACATGTGTGTGTCTGTGTGTGTGTGTGGTCCTGGAGATTGAACCCAGGGCCTTTGCCCTGAGCTAGTTTCCCCAGATCTTTTCTAATTTTTTATTCTGAGACAGGATCTCACCAAGTTTTTAAATTTCCCAGGTTGGGCATGAATTTGTGGTCCTCCTGCCTGAGCCTTAAAATTACAGGCATGAGCCACCCCACCTAGCTCCTCCATCCCACTCTTTTTGAGATCACTAACTTGGAAGAACTGGCACACAAGAATGATTTTCAGCACATACACTCGTGTTTCTAAATTTCTAAAACCTTCTTAAATTGTGATCTATTTTTGCAAAGGAATACTATGTAACAACCAAAGAATAATAGCTGCGTAACACTTGGTAGGGGATGGGAGGCTGAGACAGGAAGATAGCTCGATCGCTGCCAGTTTGAGCCCACTTTGGGCTACACAGCAAGACCCTGTCTCAAAACAAATGAACAGGGCTGGGGATTTAGCTCAGTGGTGCTACTGCCTACCCCACAAGTGCAAGGACCCAAGTTCCATCCCCAGTACCAGAAAAAAAAAAAAAAAAAAAAAAAAGAGGAAAACAAAACTACATGCATGAATATTCATATAAATGGTCCTTTGTCGAGAACCTAGTTTATGCATAGATGTGAATGTCGAGTTAAAGAAGCCAAATATAAAAGAGCACATACCGTAAGATTCCATTTTTATGAAATCTAAGAACAGCCAAAGCTAATCTGTGGTGGTGGCAGTCAGATTACTGGCTGGGGCCTACGAAGCAGAGGCAGTGGGGTCTCTGAGGATGATGGCGATGTTCTACACCCCGCCAGGCAGAGGTCACACCACATGCATGAATTCATCCACATGTATACTTAAGCATTATGCCCAGCATACCTAAGATGTCTAAAAACATTTTTCAAAATACTGTTTCGAAGCAGTCTTATGGTTTCTTCTAATGCTCTCCTCCAGTCTCTTTCACATTTACATGAATGGAAAATTGATTCATTGGTGTCTCAAGCGTAGAAGTTACTTGAATATAAAAATGTTCAAGTAATCGAAATGACCCATTTAAGCAAACACCCTATTAGTGTCTTGGATAAAAGCATTTCTTACTGATTTGTATTCCTTACTGCTCGGTTTTGCGTGTGTGTGTGTGGTGGTGGTGATGGTACTGGGTCTTTGCACTGAGCCCCAGCCCTAGCCCTTTTTATTTTTTATTTTGAGACACTAAATTGTTCTGGGCTAAATTGTTTAGGCTGGCCTTGAATTTGTGATCCTCCTGCCTCAGCCTCACTAGTATTGTGGGACATGCACCATCACATCTGGCCTCACTGTCATTTTAAACAAAAGCTATAGAACACCCCATTCTTAGCCAGCCAGGTTATCCTTAGGAAGCTGCATGCTCACACTCAGCTGAGCTGGAACAGTGACTTCAGGGGCATTAATTCTCTGCAGAGTGACAGTGGTTGCTGGCCCTGTTTATCTGCTGCTGTTTCTCACTCCTGCATGCCTGCCTCTAACTACTCCCGTCCTCATTTATCTTCTTTCATTCATTTATTTACTCACATATTTGATCCTATTTTGGAGCATCTAGGATGTGCTAAGCACTGGGGACAGAGTAATGAATCAAGTAGCCATCATCCATGACCAAAGGCAGCCTGCATTTATCTATCCTGGGAGGCAAGTTTAAAACAAGTGTGAGTTGTATATTGCAGAAGTACAGGACCTAATTTAGGGGCAGGATGGTCATCTTGAAGAAGTGACGTTTAAGAGCCGAGAGATGAGAACCTAGGCCAGAATGACCCCTTGGTAAGTACTGAATGAATGAGTAAATCAATGAACGAATTGTCACTAGCCTGGCAATGAGGAGAAGAGAGATCTGCACTGAGAAACCAGAAATGTTCTCGGAAGATGTCTAAACCAAGAGTCCACAGGCCCTGGCTGAGGGCTGGCAGAATGACAGCATTAATTCTGACCACCAAGGAGTGTACTGCCTCCCCCGAGGCCTAGAGGTGCTGGACAAGTAGAGGAGGGCTGGCATCACGTAGATAAACTATACGTCCTCAGCTTGTATTGCTTCCTACAGAAACACAAGCAGCCAGCAATGGCCCACTGCTCTGGGAAGCCACCTCCAGGTAGCCGGCAGGAGTCGGATCATGGGTCCCCACGCATGTGACTTTTCAGCAGTCCCCACATTCATGCCAAAAGGGTGTCACCCACCTGTGCTTTACTAGAGCCATGACAGATTTGTCCAGAAAAGCGACAGCAGGCCCGCCTTCTGGGGCATTATCACATGTTGCAAAATACCACTTACTTTGGGGTCTACCATTGTTCCTCCTGCTATTTTTTTATAGATCGAGAATAACTAGCAGACTAAACCAGGTACCCACCTGTGGTCCCAACTATTTGGGAGGCTATGGAAAGAGGATTACAAATTTGAAGCTAGTCTAAGTAGCTTAGCCAGATTCTGTCTCAAAATACAAACTTCAAAAAAGGACTGAGAGGTGTAGCTTAGTGGTAGCGCCTTGCCTAGCATGTGTATGGGTTCAATCCCCAATACAGCCAAAACTAAAAATTAAAAGAAAAAAGAGGACTGGGGATTTAGCTCAGTGGTGCTGCTTGCCTCACAAGTGCAAGGTCCCAAATTCAATCCCCAGTACCCAAAAAAAAAAAAAAAAAAAAAAAAAAAA